TCACTTACTGCCATCATTATTGATTACGCCCCACTGGCAGGTTTTTCCAAGAGCACACGAATGATAGGAGGAGACTGAGCTCAGCCTGATTGCTGCTGCTCCATGCTGACTGACACGGCTGGAAATGAACTGAGCTGGCTCTTAGGAGAAACCCAAATCAAAGGTAACATCTAGGGCCCGTTAAAGATGCATCACGAGCCTGAAGCAAGAGAAAGAGCTCTTGGTCCATATCTCCACCTGCAGGGCAGCAGGCTCACTGCATGCTCTGCTGACAATTCTACATGTCCTTCACTAGTTTTGATGGGAATTTCTACAGTCAAATTTCATTTAAACAACTTAAATCCACTCAAAAGGCACCTGCCTAACAAAAACACACTCCATCTCATAACTGTACTGCAGTAGATCTGAGACGGCATTAGGAAATTTTATGAGCTAAGGGGAGTCAATGACTCATCTTGAAGTTAAACATATGCTTCTGTTCCCAGATGGCTCCCCAAAGCTCAAGCACTAGCTGGGCTTGCTTTCTCCTCCCACTCTCTTTTTTTATTTTTTTTCCCTTTTCTTTTTTTTTTTCCCCCAGTCTTTAAAATCTACATTAGAGGAGACTTTTTTAATTCCATTCCAGCATGTGATTTCAGCATGATAAAAGATCAGGGAAACCTGTTGGTGAAGAGAACAGCTACTGGTTGACAATAGTTCCTCTGTTATCTAAAGGGTCTAACAGAGGTGGCAAAACATTACCACCCCTCATGGTCTGTATTAGCACTCTCCTGGACATTGCATCTGCCGTGGGAAGGAGACAGATGGAGATTTGTGCCCGCTCCAGTTCACAGCCCAGCATCCCACCACAAAACCTCTCCCATATTGAGTTTAACCCAGAAACTTGCCATCTATTCCAGCGCTTTGCCAGAAAAGTTTGCCCTGAGGGATAGGGAAGACAGCTAGAAATAAAACCAAACCTTAAACCCAGCAGCTACACATGCTGCAGTTCCCCTTCTCCGCCTGCTTTTATCCCCACGATTTGATTACAGCATTCACTACTCACCCACTTTATAGTGCACACAGCCTTCCAAGTCGCCCACCGTTGTCCAGCCCTGTTTCTTTTCTACTTCAGGGTCGTTGTGAAGGATTTTATTTCTTAACCAGGACAAATAGTAAACTCGCAACTTGTTCTTCTTACCTGGCCACAAAATGACAAAGACTGAGTTACCTCCACAGGAGGGTAAGTGCAAAAAAACCCTGGCCCAAGCAAACAGAAAGCCCCGCAGAGCAAATCAAAGTAACAACGAAGAAGAAATTGCTGCAACCACAGAGATCTCCCTCAGTTTTTATGCCCATAACGGCTTTACTACAGACTCCACCCAAACACACGCTTTCCCAATAATCAATGCCAGAGACACATGGTAATACCACATGAACATAAAATGACAAACGCAAGGGAACAGCTCATCAGTTGCCTGAGTCTTAGAACGCAAACAACTTTTATTTGAAAAGGGTTATACTCACACAACAAAAGCCCTAAAGAGTCATGCACCGAGATAAAAACAATACACAGCTGAATCAGAACAGCTCTTTTTCACACTAAACTGTAGGAGAGCAGCAGGAGGGAATTTGAGGCCCGAAATTATCTATACTGCTATCAGAAGAGAGTAGGACTGGTTCGAAAGGAGGAAGAAAGAGTGAAGAAGAATATGGTGATGAAATGTATGTTACAAATTCTTCCCAGATAGTGACTGGGACATTTCCATCCTTTATATCATCCTTGGAGACGCAAACTGATCAAGCTTTATTAAGATTGTTTATTATTCCCCTGGTGGAAAAATACACCAAACAGCCGCACTAAACAATTTCATACCTGAACCACTTTACACCAGTTCTGTTGTAAGGAAAAAAGTACAATATTTGAAATTGCAGTGAGAGAATTTCATACGGCTCATGCAAACTTCATTTGCTTGTTAAAAGCTGGCAATTGCTTTGTCAGCAGCCCTTCCCTTCTGCTGCAATGGGTGTAACACTTACCAGGCTGCACACAGAAACTGCAAGAGGTGCTTCTTCTCCACAGGTGAGAGTCTACTTGTCCAGGCTGCCCTATCTTCAACTGACAATGCATTTGCCACGGTCATCAAAATACAGCTCAGACACTAACTCTTAATATAAGAAGGCCTCCTTCAATGTAGAGCAAGGTTCATGATAAACTTTATCAGTGATTCTTTAACAACTAATGGTCTACGAAGCATCTGCTGAACTAGTGAGAAGGTGGCCCTAACACACATGCTCAAAGCTTGCATCCTCGTTCCTCCAGCTGCTTTGCTGCCCAAAGCCATTACAGCCCTGCAGATGAAACTCGAGATGAGGAAGAGAGATCGTCTCTGCTTTGACCAGGAGCCATTTAATAAGGCTCCATGAGGTCTCTGTGCACAGGAAGGAAATAAGAGATGCTCCCAGGGATCCACCTGTCAGGGGAGTTGCTCCATGCTAGCACTTCAGCAGTCGCACTGAGGAAGCTGTGGACAATGTTTCACAGTCCTTGGAGCTTAGAGGAGACAGCTGACCTGTGCTGCAGTCAGTGCTGGGCTGGCCAAGTGACACAGCACGGGTCTACGCAGCAAAACGCCACAACCTGTCAGGATGGTCCACCTGGCAGCCTGCCAGCCAGATCTAGCTATAGGGTTTAGCTAAAATTGTTAATTTGTATTTTAAGTTTTCACACAATGCCTACCGATGGATCAATTCACCTCTGGCTGCTCATTTTGGAGACAGGGATGGGTGTACGGCATCACAGGATACTGACTATAGCAGGACATGCAGCACAAGCGTCGAGACCATCCTGCTGTGCTCAGCAAGCTTCACACTATGGTCCTGGAGCTGGCACAGAGCCTCTACCCTGATGGCAAGGGACCCCCTAACAGAGCCAGGCTCCTCAGGAAAAGCAGCTGCAGGTGCTGGGGAAGCACAGCTTGCAAACAGGCTGCTCCATGGACTCCAGTGCCACGTGCTGTTCCGTTGCAAAGACGCACAGTCTAAAAGATCTTTTTATGATTACTTGGATGGGGAAGAGCAAGAGGAAAAGAGGAGGCAGCTTCAAAGTAAAAAATCAGTTCACTGAGCTTAAATTTAAAGTGGAATTGGAGAGCAATTTGCAAATTCTAGGCCCGCTATTTAATTTTAAAAGCCCCTCTGCCCTGATGGCACCAAATGAAACATGAAGCAACATCGTGCTGTTGTTTGCTTATCCCTACCACAAACACGACAGCAGATTTGGCAGTTAACTGAGATTTATTGTCTGACTTCATTTGCTTGCTTCATTTGCTTCATATTTATTAAGCCATGTTTCACAAAGGGATAAAGCTCCACCACTGCCGTAGCTTTTTAAAGATTTGGAAAAGAGACCAGAGCCGGAAACAATATTCCCAGAAGTCTCACATCTGACCAAGGAAAGATCCTCCCATGAAATACTGCAAGAGATAGCCATGAGGGACCTTTTAGAAAGACTGAAATAGGGAACATGGTCTGGATCAGAAGGCACTGCAGCTAGGAGTGAGAAAGAGCTCAGAGCACTCAAGGTCAGTTCAATGCACTGAATGTTTTTAAAACCATCACAAGTCCCTGTGCATGGGGAGACAAATTCTCTCTCGGATATTTCCATGGCTTTAGCTTCCCCAGTAGCTTAGTCAGACTTGAAGACTCAGAACACACTGGACAGGGGAATTTCCCAGCACGTGGCTAGTTTTTTTTTTTTCTGCTGGTTCACATGATATGAACCAGGGTATTTCTCTCCAACCAGAAACATTTTTCAGAACAACAACAGAGAAATATCTCAAGCGTGTTCCCATTGTGTTTTAGTGTCTAGACCACAAGGAAAGTCACAAGACAGGAAATTCCTCTGCCTTTTAGCAACCTGACATGAAAAGAGCAGGACCGGCTAGTTATATAAACATGTCTGTGTGCGTATTTCAACAAGTTATGCTGCTCTTAATGTTCATATTAGGAGTGAGGGAATTAGATTCTTCTGCTTGTAAATCTCTACCAGTCAGTTTAAAAAGCTCTCAAAAATCTGGTCTTTTGGTTTTGTTTTTTCGGTCAAATTGTTATGGCCATGAAATAAGAAGGAAAAGTCTGCTCCAGCCATCAAATGAACTGATCAGCCAATGACTTCTGTGAGAATTCACAGCTCTGGTTCCTCCACAAAGGTAGTTACAAATGCAAAGTCCCTTTTCCTATATTGAGTTTTTGTTTTTATTGTCGCTGTGGTTTTTAATTATTAAGCAGGCAAGTCCCAACCAGTTCTTCTACTCTGTCATCCCTTTCTACCTTCCCGAGTGCCACCACCAGCCAGTTGCGTTGGCAAAACCCTCAGGGTGCCACAAGCGGAGTATGTTCTGTATGCACGTCGTCGCTTTCTCTTCCAGCATTTTTATGACTCTCAGCACTGTATTACAAAACTATGTTCTTGCCTCCTGACAGTATGAACTGAAAATCCAATTAACTACTCTGCTTTGACCTGCAAAGTTTTCTTGTACCAGCTGTAGCAGCTCAATATCTTTGTATCAAAAGCTTAGTTCTCAGTAAGTTCTATATTTGAGATATGCATTGGGAGGAAGAATTGATTTCAGGTTTCCAGATTCCAAAGAGCATATATTAAAAGCAATTTTAGGTGACGATCCTCTCAAAATCCTAACGCACTGCAGCTTCTTCGCACCACGTGGTGACACTTTTCAAACCTCATCACTGTCACCACATCACTTCCCAAAAAAGCCGAGCGACCATACAGCTGAGAGCACCATAGGGAGCTGAACAATGCTCCCAGCAGAGCAGTAGCAAGTCCTGGGAGGCAGTAACCAAGCTGCCAAAATGCACCATTTGCAGAAACACATTGCCATGTCGGTGTTCCCACATTGCCTGAAGAAGCGGAGCAACTCACTGTAAATTAAAAGACAGTATGAGAAGTCCAGCATGAGAGTAGCTTAGGTTGAGCACTACAACACAGAAGCCAGAACAGGAAGGTAAGGGAGGGGGGCTCAGCATAAAAGCATCACAGTTTCACCAAGTGTGCCCCCCTCACCCTGCCTCTCCCTGGGCAGAGATGGCTCTTTCCTGCCTCGTCCTCTGTTACTGGAGTTAGGTACTCCAATAAAATGCAGGAGATGGGACGGAGACGAAGGCATAAGCCAGTCAAAGATCAGCCAATTTCTTAAGGGTTAATGTAGCGTGTCTCCACAGAGGAAGCAATAGTTTTGAAGGAGACAAAGAAAACGGATGTGTCAGGGTACTCCAATCGTGACTGACGCAAAAGTAAATAAACCTAAAACAATTACACACAAGAATGAATCACAGACACTTGTCGTCTGTGTAGAGTATGCTTCAAATCAACAGATTTTACACAAGTTGGATTACACAATATTTTTGTTTATAAGGTCTACTATAGAATAAACTCTATCAAATGGTGCTTTTCAAACAGCTTACATTTTCATGTATAGTGTTAGACATCAAAAGGACACACAGCAGGTTGTGTTTTTTTAAACCCTTCTTGATTCATCTTTTCTTTTTAAAGATTTCACAGCGTAGCTGTAGCTGAGAACACAGCAAACAACTAGGCAATAAAATACGGTCGTTCTAGACAGAAACAAAGTCCCACGTTGACGACACCAGCATGGGCATGGTTCTTTGGACATGTAGTAGCATAACACCGCTAATGCGTTAAATTGTCTAGGTGTGTGTCCTTTTGCACAAGTGTCTGGAGAGCCAGTGAGCTCCTCCAGCGGATTCAGAGGGGCTCTGGAGCCTCAATAAATTTTGGGTTGCTCTGAACAATGACACAGAGGCCACTGTGAGAAACTTCATTTAACATCCTCTCCCTCTCACACATGTAGCAGCATAGCAAAGGTTGATTTCACAAACAAACCGAAACAAAAGGAAAGGTAAACAGCTGAACAACACCTGTGAAGAAAGATTAACAGTGCACCACATCAAGTTGCTCAACAGCAGGATAACCTTATGCAATAACTCTCTGGAGCCACAGAGTCTGGAACCTCAAGCTTCATAAAACGTATTTTTCATCGGCACACACAAAACAAACACAACAATCACCACCACCCTTCATCTCCTGTTGCTTTGCTGTCTGCAGTTGCATCCAGTGAGAGACAAGGCCAAAAGCTGCACTGATCTGCCTTCTCACACTGGCAATTTCCACATCACGTACGCATTGTACTCCCCCCATTCTCAAACATACACGTTCACCCACACTCCACATCACTCTTATTTCCCTACTTTGCAAGAGCATTTCCCATTCTACAGATTTTAACAGACAAGATGTCTTTAAAAGCAAGTAGGAAACGCATGTTTTGGCTAGTAAGAGGCCAGATTGAAAGTAATCATGGCAGAGGGAAAGAATGTTATTTTCACAAATTTCACAAAACACTAATTTACAGCTCCCAAACACTGAACAAACAAAGCCAGACGTTTCCCCCAAATCCATGCAGTATTTTTAAAAGCCACCCCCCAGGAGGAAGGACAGGGGGCAAACAGGGCCAGGGTGGTGTGTGGAAGATGATTCACTTGCAGAAACAAACTGCAGACTCAGAGAGGTGAAATGATGGAAAATCCACTGAATTCAGTCAAGTCAGGACTTCCCCTTCAACACACAGGCTGCCAAGAAAAGCATTCTGCCATGCCGTGCCAAAAGGGGGGAAAAAATCATGTTGAAAAGTTAACTTTACCAGAAATTGTCACCAAGACATTCAGCCCTTCAAGCACATCCATCTGCTGGAATCGTCTTCGATTGATAAGTGGGTAAACCTTCCCCTGACCACTTCTGTCTAGCAGCATCAGACCACTTTCAGTGCCCACTAACAAGTTCACTCCTAGAAGAAACAAAAACAGAGATCCAAATTAGTAGGCTGACTTTCTGCAATAGCTTGGTCCCCGCTGGGAGGAGGGGACTGTGGTGCAGCCCTCCTGTAAAAGGATAGGCACAGGGTTGGTCCTCAGCTTCCCAACAATCTTTTCCATCTGAATGTTAAAACTAGACGAATTACAGTAATCTTGTGCTTCCACACAAGATTTTTCCTAAAGATCAAAGAAATACAGATGAGAAAAGTCAGTAGGCCAGTTTTTTTATACAAAGGTCCACACATCCACTGGAACACTTTCCAAGAGTCCACAAAACCTTAGTATTTAAAATCAGTTACATTTTTTTAGTAATAAATATATACAAATGAGAGTAGGTTTTAAAAATATATTCATATATTTACATATTATCACTCTTAAATTTCACGACTATTTATTTGCAATAGAGTTTCAGTCTATGACCCCACAAATTGTGCAGAGACAAGTCAGATACAGAATGGAAATCAAACCAAATGCTCGACTTGCTTTATTAGACTTCCATCTTGCAATCCCAATGTAAAACTTGTCTTCCTTAAGCACAATAAAGTAATGAAATAAGAAAAGCGAAACTCATACAAGGCAATCATAGCTATACTGCTTAACGGCCTTAACCCCTAGTCAGACAATTAATCCCCAGATGTAACTATGCTGGTGCCAACGGATGTATCATTCAGATTGATCATGTAACGAACCTTTTCTAACGCAGCACGTGGGCCCAATGCACAGAAGTCTCTATCTTGGTAGCATCCATAGCAATGACATGTTTTCTCATAGTATCAAAAAAATGCCCTTGCTCACAAGGACAAGGAACGCTACCTACACAACACCCTAGCTACCAAGCATGGGAGAGGTTTGCAAAAGGGAAGACATGTTCAGCCTGACCCAGGGGACATGAGGTCTCTCCCAAAGGGGACAGGGTGGTAGGGAGGAGCTGAGAAGCAGCCAGGAGGAGGTAGTGATGGGGAAGGGGCCTGAGCTGCAGGGTTCTGAGGCACCCTGAAGAGCCTCTAGCTGGATGAGAAAAACAGACATATCCCACAGAGAGGTCGGAAACCATCACACATTTTCCATTTTCCTCTCTCTCACCTTTTCAGCAAGGAAACTTCAGAGGTCCCAGCAGTCCCCACAAACCATCACCTCTCTTTGCCCAGTTTTGCCGCTCTGCTACTCCTCTGCCTCCTCCAGGCAGGAGCGGCCACGGACGTGGGCAGGTGCAGAGCCCATCTTGGGAGAGGGCACGCAGCCCTCCCAAGCTCTCCTTCAGCTGCTTCCTGTCCTCCTCCTGCCTCTGCAACCCCCATATGGGTCTGCACCTGCTGGCTCCCATCCCACAGCCCCCGGAGGCGTTTCACATTGACGTCTCCCATACTGGGAGACATCCTCAAACCGGGAAGGGGTGGAAGAAAGCAGGGAGAGCGAGGCAGGCACTGAGGCAAGGCTCGTCACAGCCTGCAGCATCACCCAATGAGGCCGAGGAAGTGCCCAGCACTCAGTCTCCTTCCTGCAGCTCCAGGACCCATTGACTAAAGCTGTCAGGGATCCAGCTTCGACACACACTTTTGTATTTTTTTTCAGCACGGATTACAGCTCAAAGAAGGCCACATGCAAACTGTTCTCCCTCACGGTGCCTTCCACTCTCTGCGCATCAGGGCTCAAACCCTCCTGCCTCCACCCTCCTCTGCCACCTTTGCAGTGCAGTTGTTCCCGCTTCGAGCTTACACACGCGCCCGTCCCCGACCCCTTCCCTCAGCTACATGCATTTGGAGATGAAACTAAGGAGGTACTGTGCTGGTGGCAGCAGTGCCTGCATTTTAAAACGCAGGTGCTATCTTTGTTCACAGCCAGCCGAGCTCTCCTACCACCACCCTACAATTAAGCAGTTCTGGTTTTTCAAACAATGGAAATGCTTCCTGAAAAAGTACAGGCTCTCTGTGGAGGCTGGGTGTAAAAATCCATGCTACTGCATCCCTGTCATTAAGGCTGACTTTCACCACTCGGTAGCAGAAGAAATAGCAGCATAGACCTAACGCAACCAAAAACCTGCCAGATGCTATGGCATTACCTCTGGTAAAGATAAAGCAAAACAAAGCAAAGCAAGCCCTCCTCTTTTTGAATAAGAAACATCACCATGAAATGGCTTGATTTGCTTAAGGGTAAAGGAAACTAAACCTTATCAAGAAATAAGCGTGTGTACTAGCTTACGTCCCCATCAGTTTGGTCTTAAATATTCTACAAGGAAGTGCTTTGTTACAGCTGCAAAACACCTCTAGGATTTTACACCTATAGTTTAAATCACTATAACAGTCAGATACATAGATCAAAGAAATATAAAACCATTAACACAAATTGCCACTGGCAAAACAAGGCAGATTAGAGAAATTATGAGTCATCTTTACTGATCCTATACAATTTCTCTCTGCCTTCGCCCTCTCACAGTCTGAAAGTTTATATTTGCACAAGTCTCTTCGTTTCATCAGAGAATTATTCATATGAACACATGCAGAAATAGCACTGGGGTAAAAATTCTTACCAGTAAATTATGGAAATAAAGAAAAGAGCAGATAGGAAGATAAGGTGTTGGGAGAGCTATTTAATTGACATGGCTTTGCAGGCAAGAATGATAGGACAACAGTGCTGTTCTGAGAAATAAGAAATGCTGGAAATGACCCCAAAAGATATCTAAAACCTTGGAAAAAGCTGTGCAAATGTAAACAAGAAAAGCGCACTATGTTACCTATACAATCACTGTGTGACTTAGGGGAATGGTCAACTCTCTTCTTCATAGTCTTTAAAATGACATGCATGTGCATTTACAGTCTGTCAACAGGGATACTAGACAAATATGTACATAATACACACAAACATCATCTATTACCATCTAGATAATGAAAAAATTCAGGTGGCCCCATAGATTCTGGCCAAGAAAGAAATGACACAGCAAAGCAAAGCTTTCGCTGGGTGTTGCAGCAGTGATTTCATGTTGTAGCAGGCAACAAGCACTGCTCTAAGCCTTTCACCAGTGTAAGATCCTGACTAATTGTCTGACACTGGCATAAATTATCTCTTGTGACAAGAAGGCCAGACACACTTGGTCAGCTGACATCCTATACCCAGCTTCTCCCTGTACTAATCACTCTTAAAGCAACCAAGCCAGTCTCACAGTGGAAAATGTCCCTCCTACCCTTCTCTTTTCTCTCTTCCTTCCTATATAAACTGATGACTGATGTGGAAAGTCATCTTATGAAACACATCTTAATCAATCTCTGCAACAATACATTAGCAAAAGGCTCAAGAATATGATAATTTTTCAAGAGAAATACCCTGTGTGCACCAGGTGTACAATGCAAAGATGACCACAAGCTCCCAAAAGCTACAAGAGATATAAGCAAGCGGGGTCAGAGAGAGCTGAAAAGGATCAGTCTGAACTGTGCCATCAGAAGCGTACATACAGCAGTGGGAAATTACATCAAAGCAGAAGCAACATACTGTAAAAACATAATCAGCTCTTGCAACAAAAAGATGTAAACAAGCATTGAATAAATGCAGAGAAACAGATAAGGTTTCAAAGATATATTCTCGAAGTCTGTAACCTCATACTGGCACGTCTGCACTTCAGAAGTGCAGGAGGCAAGGGAGGAACAGGTTTGCATTACCCCATAAGGCAGCACACAGTATCTCCGAATTGAATCTCTTCTTGTATTTGCGGATCTCTGGGGTATCACTCTGTGGCCGTGTATTCGTGGGATTCACATTGACAACTGATCCCTTCCGCGTAGGGTCTTGCCTTATTGCCTCTGATCTCATTGCTTCACTTGAAAATCCTACTGAAAAGAAGAAAAATAAAGTGCATGTAATAAACCTCAGGTGCTAAATTCTGGCCATATATTCTTTACATCAAACAACCCAAATCAGTAACTGAGAATATTGAACAAGTCTTTCTTTTTGTAAGAAATGTAAATGGAAAAAGAAACAAACTATGCACTCCATTGCAAATCAAATAAAAAGCATGATGGTAACATTCATAAGTACTTTAAAGAGCCACCGAAGTCACTGAACCCTTTTTCAATTGTCGTCTTCAGCTACTTTACTTACCCACAGAAGTCACAGTTGTCCCACTAGATGGAGAAATCTGTAGTAATCTGGGGTCTATAAAAGGTGTAAAGGAGGAGGAAGATTTGTGTTTCTGGAGTGTGTTACTAGCGGACTGAGTCTGCAATGTAAATTTCAACTTTATTAATATTAATGACAATAAAAGCACGGATAACAACAACCAACATTTTTAAGTCACTATAGAATTATGCTACAAAGCCTCCCCAAGCTTTTAAACTTCCTTTATAGATACACAATGCACTGCAGGCATCACACCTGAACTATACACATATGCGCTCTGCACATGTTACAGTGCAACGCAATTAGCTAAATCATTGTCCTTGTCACCTCGGCTGCTAGCGAAGATTTTTAGGACTGGCCACTATAATCAGGCACAAAGTGAGGGAATGTCTCTTTTTTTTTTAAATCTGATTATATGTATGTATACTGTCTTATCTGCAAGCTCTCCTCTGCCTACAACTTTTGTATTTATGAAGCATCTCCTGAAGTGAGCTAGTTTCATAAGTTATGAAGTCTGATCTCTTGGCTTGCGCAACAAAATCAGAACCATCTGGGATCAAGCGTTCACTTCTAAGATGGATTATGTTTCAGTGTCCACTACTGTTTGTTCTCCCTATTTTGTTCAACCTGAGCCTCTTGCCAGAAAGCTGCAGCAGGTTCTTCCACCTTTTGTATGACAAAGCAACACATTAAACCTGTATCGAACAAAGGGGCTCATTAGTGTGGAAGGTGTAGCAAACGGTGATATGAAGCTATGAATATGTAGTGGATAAAATCACTGGTGCTTGCTGAGTTATGTGGTCTAAACATGAAAAAACATAAAGAAAGGAAGAAGACAAGTGAAACAATGAACTGTTAAAAGTGGAAATGGAACGACTTAAAAACCCTTGCCAGTTTAGTATTATAGTGACAACATTGCATACTGAAGCAGAATGGGACAAGTGTCAAAAAAAAAAAAAAAAGAGTGTATATATGTAAAGGGCGTGCATGTGTGTAAGCTATACCAAGCAGTACTGGGGTTTTGCTCAGCTTTATGCAAATGTAGTTAGAGACACTTCTTTATCACCGACTACTCTTCAACCTCTGATCTTTCTAAGTCTCTACTCTCTGCATAAAAAATAGCAATGGGTCTTAGGAGTGTATCACTCCCCTGCACAGCTCAAGGCTCCTTTGCCACCAGCCACAGCCACAGCCTCCACTTCCCAAGCTGAGTTAACTGAATCCTGCTTATTTATTGCTTAGATCAAAGTAATGAGCAAGCATATCTCTGGATCAATCAACTGATCTCTATAACCTACAAGAGTGTGCTTTTAGAAAGATCAAAGACCAATGAAGCATGGCTGAAAATTATTATGCTAACTGAATTTCCAGGAGGAAACCCTCCCACCCAGCCTCCTGCTACACGGTTCAGAAGCATTTTTGATCCTGCGGTAAACACGTGTATTGCCATCAGCCTACCCAGCTCACCGCAACCTCTCCTTCTTGTCACAGCACTCACACACCTCTATGGCAGGACAGCTCTACCCTGAGAAGCAGCAGCTTCTTTTCACCGAGTTTTGCTCCCCCTGTACCACTCCTGCTTGCATACAGAAAGAAGGTCTCCCCAAAAGCCAGGCTGGCCACCCAGCTGGGAGTGGAGTCACCATGCCAGGCTCCTCGCTTACTGCTAGGGTTGGTAAGCGGTGAATGATGCCCTTTGTTCACATGTGTGCATCTCCTCTGCTGCGAGGGGTTACACACATTTTAAGGACTGGGCTTGCTCACCAGCGCTCGGTGAGTAAGGGAAGGCACCATCCCGGGATCAGCCCAGGACAGCAAGAGGGAGCTTGCCCCACGGTGAAGCCTTGCTTCTCCACGTGGACACAACCAGCACTGGCGGAGAACATTCACCTTTACACAGGTGCTTTTCAGAGTACACATATACTTGGAAAAAAACCCAAAGATTTCCCCATTCATTATTCCCAAACAATAACCCAGGCTTTTAAAGCCCTCCCGGGCAACATCTGATTTGACTCAGCGCATGTGGCAAGCTTTAAAGAGCAAAATCCCTCCATGGCTGCTTCCTCTCCCAAAGGGTGAGTTTCCGCAAGCAGCTCCCCATACATGCGGAGTTACTAGCCCAGCCTTTCCTGACAAAGCCAAAATTAACTGCTAATTTTCAAGAGGCACACTGCTTGCAATTAGCCTGCTCCCGGAACAAAACAGAATTAAAAAATAAAAGAGTATTGGCTTGAAAATGCAGTAGTCTAGTTTAGTTTAAAACGAACGCCATGCAATTAATGACTCGCTAAGAGGAAGCAAAAATAGTAAACTGGCAAGTTTGGCGTGGGACTGCTCTAGAGTTAAGGGCTTCTTACACAGAGCTGAAATGTGTTATTTGGGGGGTGGGAACAAAGGTGACAGAAAAAAAAAAAGCAGGGGAGATTGGCTGGAGTTCCTTTGCAAACTAGCTACTAGGCAACGCTGCTATAACCCTACGAAAGCAGCCAGCTGTGGTGTAAGACATACCTCATTAGTAGTTAGCTTGTCCTGGGGTGTCTGTGGGGACATGGTGGGTGTCGGCTGGCTGGAGGATGGGGAGGAGGAGGTGGAGGAAGTGGAGGAGGAATGGCTTTGCTGTAAGAGATCTGGCAAGAGGTGAATGCGACCGGCAAAGCCATTGCTCTCATGATGGCTGGCACGCTTTTTGTCAACTGTACTCTGTAGAAAAAACAGGCACACTTGTCTTGCTCAAGTGCTGCTTAAAGGTCTATATCCCTAACAACCTCTCTCCTTCTCTCCCTCGCTCTCTTCCTACCTTTTAACATTTATTTATTTATATTTTTTTAAAAAAATAAACTGATAATCCATGCCTTGATGCCTGGGTGGAAAGGGAAAGTGGTCAGAGCTACTGGAATTCAGCAAATTCCCACCTCTTCTGACAGGCAAAAGCTTAGTTCGTGTGGTTGACTAGCACAGCCAGTTCCACTAATTAACAAAAGAGTAACTGCACCGGTAAGTCTTCCACCACAATGCGGACAAGCACATTTTTGGGGGTGGGGGGGAGGATTTCTTCCCCTATTGTTTTGTTTAAAACTAACTTAAATCCTATACAGAGACAAGCTTGGACTGTCTGGTGAATGCCTTCAGCTAACTACTTAAAACAATAAGCATGAAATTTTAATTTTCAAACCAGAGGGCTCAATTAAGAAATTGGCATTCAGTTGTGAAATTCAGAAATGCGATTACCGAGGAAACTCCTATAAGCTAGCACGCTCATTAACACACGAGCTCATTTGAAAGCAGGGAATCATTATCTTTCAGAGGCACAAGAACGTAACATTTTCAGAATCAAAGGCAACAACACAGCGCTCTAGCTCTGTCCACATTCTCTCCCTTGCCACCTATTTTGCCTCTCCGTTTCCCCACGCTGTTAGATGAATTTGTACGTGTGTGTGTGTGTGTGTGTGTTATCTAGGTGGTCTGTATGCCCTCAACTACAGGTTCAAAACAATTTTAAGAACTCTAAACGCTTCCCCCCTCAGCCTCCCTCCCAGCCCCACTTCTGAGAGCCATGTTTGGTTCTACAGTAAAACTAAACTAAGCTCTTGCTCCAGGTACTTGCTCCAAACACTTGCAGCTTTTCTACCCTTCTCTCCCACAGACTTTGAGGTACTCTGCATGGTGTTGCCATGGGTGTCACTGGAAAGCATGCAAAACAGTAGCAAGGGGTGAAGGGCTACTCTCCATTTTGCATGCATCAAACATCTTGCTCATCTGAAATCCACTACAGCTGTGTCTTGATAATACGAACAACAAATATAATGTAGAAACAGCATGGGTGAATGAGCGAGTGGGTTAATGAGCACAGAAAAGGTGCAGCACTGCACAGGGAAGGAAAAGAAATACCTGTCGGACAATTAAGGTGCCCTCCTTAGAAGGCGTCAAGGCAGGTTCACTCTCCACATCGTCATGGACGATCATGGTTTTCACTGACTCTGTTTCACCATTGCTCAAGTTCAACGTTGACCTATTTGCCGGACAAGAAATAACTGGGGTGAGATAATAGCACTTACGACCTAGCCTTCGCTACTCCACACCAAGATTCAATCAAAATTAATTTATATTGTGACCAGAGTGGAATGTTTACATAACCTGAGCAGAGAAACTTCTTTACCAAAAAGAGTTTGTTAAACACTTCTTCCTGTTTTATAACAAATCAAAAGGAGAAGAGGGAAAGGATGCAATTTATAGAAGCACAATTCAGTCTACTTTAATACGGACCAAAGGCACTTTCTTGAGGGGCTGAGAAACTGATTCCCCAATTGCAGAAATGACTTAAAGAGACTTATCTGCTAACTTGGATCCCAAATGCTTAGCTTGATTTTGAAAAGACTGCCCTCACTGTTTGAAAATGTGAACAGATAAGTCTGCCATGTCTTGCTTATAGATTGTTGTAAGCTGAAAGAACTAACACACACATCACCATATCCAATGTCCTTTTCCTTCAGCCGCCTAAGAAGGAAAACAGAAGCAAAACACAGAAGAACTAACACTGCTCGGACATCATCTGGTCCAGAAGTAGATTCATCTGCTCCTTCTTGTTCCATGTCATCGTCTTCCTCATCTGTCGTCCCTGACTCCTCACTGGAGGATGAATAATCCGTCACTTTATGTGGAGGTCGCACATCCTCTACCGCTCGCAATTCCTTTGCCAACGCAGTTAAATCCTGATAGGAGAAGGAGGAAAAAACTGATGTTGCATGGAAGACAGGAGAAGAGTTTGCAAGACAGTTCCACTAGATTAGTGCCTGAGTTTGCTCACTTGTCCACTGCTGTGTTTCCACAGCCCCACCAGTACTGTTTCCTTTGATTTATTCTTTCCTGATAGTTACCAAAACTCACTTTCTGATAAATTAAAGCACCGGAAAAGTCTATCTAAGGAGGCTTTGCCATATTACAGGAAAAATGCATATACTCTGAATCCAAACTATCCTGATTATGACTTCAGTTTATTCCATTATACCATCTGAAGGACATATATAAGCACACGAACCCACTCTCACACAATGGCTGACTGTCACAGTTCATTTTCCTAAACTTTGCATGTTAATAGCATCCATCACAAGGAATTCTGGGCAGCAAGTCAGCAGAAGGATCCTAAGACTCATTGGGCCACTCAAGGCACAGCCTATTTCGGCAGTCGCAGACAGCTGATCTCCTTAAAACCTTTTGATCCATCTCCAGTTTCATGGATCCAAGCTAAGGAGTTCACCTGAGAGGTCAAATTCATTAGCACTGGCTCAGTCACACATGACTGTCAAAAAGTATGGGACATAAGCTGCTTTTCTGTCTGAAGCTTGGAGTGGGGGCAAATCAGGTTAGCAGGCAGCGCAATCTGCTCTCAGTTGTGTAGCTATGCTTTATTTAGCTGAATATGGTTTATGGCAAATCCTTCACACACTATACCATTGGAAGTGAAGGACTAACCTCTATGTTGCTTTAAGAAGGCAGCTTTAACTGACACATTTGGGTGCTAGTGTGGTATCATAATGGCAAGAGAAAAAAGTTACGGAAAGTTGGAAATACTGTGAAAACCCTCTATGATGCCCCAGATACAACTGGACATAAGAGCTGTAAACAACTGTAACAGCAGTCAAATAAAGAAAATGTCAGAAATCTTTCACGGAAATTTAGGTCTTACCACTTCTCCCTGCACCATTCAGCCCCGCATTGGCACATTCAGGTCAAATTCATGATCATTGGTCCAGCCCCAGGAAGGAAGCACAGGATTGAAAAGAGAGAAAGGCAAAGGTTAGGAAGGAAGAAGACCAGAGAGCAGAGAGCAATTCCAGAAGCAGAGCAAATTCTAATGTTTAAAGTACTGTGACGAGTGCAGGCAATTGCAGAGGCCGGGACATGCTGCTGGGCCCAGAGATAAAAACTCCAATCCAAGCTAAAGTTCATTCCAATGACATCATGAATGGAAGCTCACACTCTACATTTCATGAGCCTAAGTGGAAGAGAGGGGGCAGAGGGGAAAATGGATGCAACTTACAGCGGGCTTGATAGGTCTGAAGACTTCCTTTTTCTCTTCAGGCTTTTTAGGTGCACTTTCATGACGCTGCGATGGCGAACCCTCTGATTTGGATGATGCTGCATGTGTCAAGACCCCAAAAGGAATACAGAATGAAACAGATTAAGCAGGGAGCTAAAATCTGTTTTCTTACTTCACTTCAGAGAGAGGAAGAGAGGTGAGAAGGCTACCAGGCAGTGCCTGACAGCAAGGCATAAATTTCAGTGGTTCACTACTACATTGTCCCTGAAGAACTACACAAAAATACATAATGAACTGTGATCTGTATAGGTGCAGCTGACCTATGACTGAAGCCAAAGTAAACTGTCACGCAGTTGTAAATCAAAGAAGGTAACTCGAGTGTGGTCACAAGCTGGAAAATCTGCTCCAGCACCCAATGCACCCCAGCTGAGACCTATCCGTAGCAGTCTGCACCCCTTCAGCAATCACTGAGGTGACAGGCAACAAGCATCAAGAGGTGCCCTTGCACATAGGAGGAAGGGAGCTATAAGAGCATGGAGACTGGGCTGTTTGCACATGGGAAAACGCAGCAGTGACTGAACGTGAATCAGAGAACACTGAAACACTTTCACGACAACTTCTGCATCCACCATCTTTCCCAAGGAAGGGCATACAGCCAAGGGGGGTACTGGAAGCTAACTCATCTTTGATACCGCATGCCTAAAGGTCTTTTCAATAAGGCTTATCATCCTTCATTATTGAGTGTTGCATGACTCAACAAATTTATAAACACAACATTACAAAGGGTAGGGGAAGGACTTACATCTCATCCGGAACCGTTCTCCAGATCCACTCTGAGAGCCAGGGTGGGAGCCAGGCTGTGAGCCAGAGTTGCTTGAACCTGAAGAACTGCCACTGCCCGGTCTTGGTACGAGCTTCTCCACCCTTTCCCACAGCAGACGAGGCTCTATATTGCTGTATCAGGGGAGGGAAGAAAGTCTTTGTCACGCACTTCAGTTGCAGATTCCTGTTTCTCAACTCAAACATCACTCTTCCTTCAGCGTTCTACAAACAACTCATCTGAAAGGGCACTTAACACTGAGCTGAGGACACCAGTGATGCTTCACAATCCAAGCAGTGGCTCCCTTAGAAATTCCTATTACCTTATCTAGGATGGTTAAAAAAAAAAAAAAAGAGCTTATGTGGGTGTAAGCTCTTCTTTTTATTTGGAACTGGCTACCTGCCATTCTTACGTATCTTACCTAAAGTGGACAGTTCTCTCAGCCTGCATGGAGCAGGTTTGATATTGGCTCAGAACTGTCCTGGCCACCCAAGCACAAGCCAAAAAGCCAGCACTGCCTGCCCCTCTCAGAATACCCTCACCCCTGTCCAGTGAGCTGGTGACAGGGTGACCTGTCCACAATTCTCTGCTGAGCTCTGGAGGCGGTCCCTTCCTCTCCCGCTTCCTGATCTCAGATACTCTGTGTCACAGCTCATGGATGCTTCTCCGCCTCTTAAAGTTTGGTTCTGGCCAAGAGGCCAGAAAGTTTCTGAGATCTCTTCACTTTAGATGTTGCAAACACTTCTGCTGCCAGTAATCCCCACAGTATGCCCAAGATGACCTGCTGCACCAAAAGGCAACATGTTAATGAATGGCCACATTTTTTCAGTAAACCTAAGGATATTTTGAAATTATTGCAAAAGTTACAGCGCAGGCAACTCAAAGGAGGAGAGGGAAGAAGAAATTTTGCCAGTGTTTGTTGACACATGTGCTACACCAAGGGAAGTTAATATTAATCACTACTGAAAAGGGACCCAAATTCATCTTCCTTTCACGTCCAACAGACAATGTCGAAAGCTCTCTAGAAACACCAGGGTCCCCGTGAGCCTTTTCCTTCCAATGCAAGAAAGGGGAGGACACGTAGGCTTACAAACCTCGTGGAGTTTCTTTGACCTGCTTGGTTATTTTGCTGTCCACTGCCCTGCAGTGGAGAATCACGGCGGGACAGGACTGGTGATCGAGACGTTGTTCTCACAGGTACCTTGGGAGAAAAAAGGTTATGTTAAACCCATGAAGAGGAGAGAAAAGAGGAAGATTAAACCTCTCCTGCCACAGAATATATCCTTAAGATTTTAACAGCACTTAATCCTAAGCCCAAGCTAGCATCAATGACCAAAAGCAATAAACACCCACAGAACCAGGAGCCTTAGTTGGGATGCTGTTCAGATTTCGAAGAGAGTTGAAGAGAACCCAAAGCTTAGTCTTAACATTAAGTAGTGTTTAATAGTTGCCACACGAACACATACATACCCTGCTACCCTCCAACTACTGAGACATTTAAAAAGAATATGGCATTTTGAGTGAAGCAGGGGAGGCACAAAGCAATTTGCTGAAACAGCATGAGAATTAGGAGAATAAGCTCAGGGGAACCAAACAAATGCCCGGAATGGATCAGCAGAAGGCAAAGACTGGTGGGGGAGCAAGAATATACTCAGAAGAAGCAAATCCCAGTGGATGGGAGTGGGGGGTGGGAAGGGAGAGGAGGAGAAAATATATTGAATGTTTCCTTTTTGTTCAGTTTCATCTCAATTTTAAATAAGTGTATGATTCATAGTTTGGGTTGCTAACAGATGAAGAGGAAAATTAGCTCCAAGCAATAACCTCAGGGATATTTAAAATTCTTTCCTGAATATGGTAATGATTTGTTAACTTTGCATAATAAATTGTCTCTCTGAAATAGCTGCATTCTACAAATAATTGCCAATTTTGTATGAAGCTTCAATATTGTATTTCTAAGGTTGATTATCATTAACCCATTGACAGAACACCTACATTATGGTCTGCCTTCTAAAATACTGTTACCAATGCAGGCATAAGGGCACAGTCTTCCCAGCGCCCAGGGTATCACATCCTTAAAAAAATCATAATAAATAATAATAAAAAAAGCACACATCTGTCTTTCTACTCCTTACCCTTGGAGGCACCTCGTCACTGTCTGATCTAGCCCAAGCCTTTTGGGTGGGGTCGGGTACCTCCGACTTAGAGTCAGAACTCTGACTTAGCACTTCACTGCGTGAAGGTGGATATGGGTCCTGGGAACGAAGATGGTGATGAGCAAATTTGGGAGAAGGGTCACTGAAGGAATGGGATCGCGAGACAGGGGAAACATTGTTCTTGAGAGATGCCAGATGGGACCACTGTACCTTACAAGAAAACAAAACATAAAACATTCAATGCGCTCAGTATAACTGGCTTTCCAATTAACACAGAATAAAGGCAGGTGGGGCGGGCAGACACAAATTGGTTATGGCATTAGGTAAGCGTGGGGTGGAATCGATGCACTTAAAAGCAAGGCAAGCGCCCAAAGAACGTAACAGACTCAAAATACAGCACATACGCATTTTTTTGTGAGATACGCTCTCCACATACACATACACTGGTGCCCAGAAGAAAGGGAATCTAATATCTACACCGTGAGCCTGAGTCCAAAGGCCACTCAAGACAGAAGCTGCTTTCTATTCGCCAGTCTTCAATGGGCTTTGGTCAAGTCTCACAGTAGCACTGGTGGGTTGGGAAATTTGAAGTGGATATCCAATCGAAGAAATGTATAAAATTAAAGAATGCTGTAAGATGTGCAAACCAACAGACTTGTACGTTATCTAGTAAATTTAGGAACTAGATACAGTTCCAAACTTTTGGAGAAAGACAGTAACACAAAAGCCTTTATTCCTTTACAGTCATTGCAATATATATATAAAACCCCATAATATATATTGTATCCAGTATACATATGTACAATGCATATTATACTTACACCATATATGTACTGTATAGTGTACATATATACATATTTATACACAAACTAAGCACACATGTACACACACATATTCAATTACACATACTAAGAAGGCACAACAGTGACTCCAGAGTTAAAACTCCCTTGGGATTTCCACTGAACTCCATATTGATCCTTCAGCCTACTCCCCCCTCCTTGTGCATAAACCTGCATTTCAGAGTTAATTTCTGAAACTAAGGAGGAGGAAAGGTCAAAACTGAGGAACACACTGTTTTCACACCTAATAATTAAGCAAAACTTTGCTTTCAATCCCGGTTTCAGTAGGCCGGTTGTATTTGTTTTTGTATGATTATTACTTCCTCACTTTTAATAGACACAGCTGTCAAAGAGCCTGATTATCCTTAATATGAGTGGAAGACCCAGACTTTAAAAGTAATTGGCACAGAGAGCACGAAGATACAAGTCCAATATTTTGAAATAGTCATAGAGGTTTGAATTAAAGCCAGGAATTAATGAGTAAGAGATGAAGTTCTGTCCTGATTTCTCCCACTCTCCCGTCTGCTCAAATTGTCCTGTTGCCCAAAAGAGTTGCAATACCTAGTCACAATCAGGGATGGTTTTAGCTTGCACTGTCATCAACAGACTTAATTTGGGAGAAGAAAATTCTGCATGGAAACAGAGGAACTGAATGCAGACTATACTGTTTAATTTAGCATATCTAAATTGCTCAGAATTTATGGGCTATGTCTAAGTTTTAGACAACGGCTAGTTTTTAAATTCATGCTGTAATTCCTATGAGATACAGATACCAAGATCTGGAGGCTTTTCATTAGAAAACATTAGAATGATGGCAGCTACACAACTCAGTGGTTTCAACCCCTTTTTGATTTACCAGGGGTGGTACGGTGCTCTATTTAGCAACTGTAAGCCTACTGACAACAAACTGGCTTTTCTTAGTCATGTTTTGTAAATCTCTTCGAAGCAGTGCTCATACTATTAAAAACCACTTGTTTAGTTAGCTTTTCCCACAAGAATTTAAAAGTCAAGCAAGCTCACTTCTTTCCTGAGCACCATTTTTGGTAGTATCTTGCATAGATCAAATTCTAAATTGTAAAAGTACACTGTAACTGTCACCAGTGTCTAGCTCCTCATTCCACTGCTGCACAGATAATAACAGTATAAAACAGTTCTAATCTAGATCTAATATTAAAATAAAAAAATACCAAACAAGTAAAAACCAACACTAAAATCACAAATCCATCAGTTTATCAATAAAATAAGCAAAAATAGACAAAGAATAAATCTACTGAATAAGCTGCTTTGCGTAACAGTGCTACCCTTTACATAAGACTTTTTAAGTGCCAAGATCTGTAAATCTGAAGGAAACATGTTGAGACTTCTGCATTTCCTTCAGGCTCACCAAGATTTTCCTGGGCACTTACCTGGGGCTCCATTGGCCTCTGCAGGGCAGGCTGAGCAGGTTCTGAGTTTCCATTGGAAAAGGACTCTGATCTTGAAGGCACTGGTGGCTCCAACACTTTGCCCATCTGCTTAGACTGTGCTTCAGGGGAGCCCTGATTAGTTTTTCTAAATCTCTCCTCCACCTAAACCAAAATAAATGGACATTACGCCTGGAGTCAATAAAACCAATTACAGTAGAAATACGAAGGTGGGTACCACTTTTCCTTTACCATAAAGAAACCAAATACATTTGGACTTGGTTTTTTTACCAGCACAGAGTGAACTACATCAATGCGGCAAGTATGCCAATATGGAAAATCCATACTAGGAAGAGAGGGTACAACAGCCAGTAGGATGTGAAAGACCATTATGGGGCTTCTTTCTGCCCGGATTAGTTACTATCCATCAGTATTTTCTTCATAGACAAGAAAAAGGAAACAGAAACAACTTTACAATATAAAAGCGCATCTCCCATTGCTCTTTCTTACTGTAGTGACTCACCTTACTCAAGCAGTGGTATTTGATTATCTGCTTTCTTGTGCTTGTCTCTTTGGTAATGCAAGAAGAGATAGGATATGCTTCTCTACCTGGTAATACTGGAGGCTATTAGGCTTTAGATATGAAATTGTAGGACTGACCAACTTGGTGGCCTTTTACGATGG